CCGCACGCCATCTGGGGGCAGCCGGTCGCGAGGGAGATCGGCCGATTTTGCGCCGAACGACCGTGATAACGTTCCGCTCAGTTGGAAATGGAAAACGGGAACGTTGGAGGGCGAGGGGAGAAGGGGAGGAGGGGAGGATCAGGGAGGAAGGTGCAATCAGCTTAATGAATAGTCGCCACGCGTAATTACGGTTGCCTTCGAGCCGCATCGAGATCCTCACGAAGCTTGAAATAAGTGAGGAGAGGGGGAAGGGAGGGGGGAGGGAGGTAGATTCGACGGATTCTTCGACTATGTTATCTTGATCACCTTATGTTTCGTTCGTTTGTTTTTTTGATGTTTTTGTCGGAATCGTGGAAATAGACGCGTGTGACTCGCGCTGGTTGGTGTTGGTGCGTTGGCATTGGTGTTGGATCGGGTTTCGCTGCTCCTATTCTTTTTAAGTATTTTGGTAAATAATAATAAGTGAAACGTTGAACGTGAACTATTATATTTCATCAGTGAAGAGCTTTATTCCACTTATCACATTAAATATTTTAAATTTTATAATATATTAAATTTTATAATTTTATAATATTTTATTAAATATTTTATCACATTTGTCCAAGTGATATAAATTTTATTAGTCTGATTCATTCTCATTGATATACTTTATTCATTCTAATTGCAAATACTTTTAAGCTCAGTGTATTTACATGAATGCTTTTTCAAAAGGGACTATGATTATCTTATATCATTTCATCTAGACTTTTTTGGTGTTTAGAGTTAAGAGAATCTTGAATGCGGTTTTATTATTATACGATTATAATGAAAGAAGTCATTACGAAGGTTAGGTTAAATGGTCTACAAATTTCAATATCTATATACTTCAATTTTATATCAATTTTACATATTTCTATCACAATCAGATAAAATAATTTATTACATTTTTATCCAACGATCTCTCGAATTCTCTTCTCTTCGAAACGAACCTTTCGATCAGATCCTTCCTAGAAACCATCTCCTTCTCCTCGCCCCCTTTCAGCCATTAATCGCAATTAATTCGCAAATATCATCTTACGTTCTTATCGCTCCCCACGCTATCTAGTTACATTTTTCGACACCCCCAACCGTATAACCCGCGATTATTCGAAGGAGAAGAAACTTTTCAGGACGAGACGCGTCGTACAGCGGAAAGACACGCAACGTTAACGCGCGTGTACTCGCGAGCCACTGGCTGGATAACTCTCTTATTGCCCTGTAAATCGTAATGTTACACCGGCAATTTAATAAGCCGGCCGCGTTCACTTATCCCCACGCTGACGAACGCTGGCTCACATAATAATGTTAATGGTAGCGAGTATATCTTCTAGGACAGCTCGAGGGAGCCGGCTAAAGTGCTTTTACACGTGTGTGTATAAGTGTGTAAATAGCATGAGAACGTGAGTAGGTGAGCGCATTGGTAGGTGGAGGAGGATCCGTTGGAAACTCTCGATCGGATGTAATTTGATTTCAGTTCGGATT